CACACACACACACACACACACACACACACAACTGCAACCTACTGTAACTGTAGCCAGTGGTATAGAAAAACATATGCAACATAATGCGGGCTGTCTGTCATTCCACTCGTTCGCTAATGAATACAACATGAGCAGACTGAATTATCTGACAGGACCACATCCTTTGGCAGGCCGCAGATCCTTAGTGCAAAGAACCCGAGCGAGCCGACAGCTTGTATTTTGACTGAGTCGTTCCTGATTATCTGTCTGCTCATCGTTTTATAATATCAACTCTAACTACACGGTTATTTGCAGTAGGTGCCTCCCGGGTTATGATAAAGTTTTGTAACAACATGTCACCACTTATAACTGTGACTTAGAGGTAGAGCAAATTTCAAACAGGGAGGACGTTCGTCAAACAATCCAGGTGAGCAGCAAAAAGGAAACAAAAAAATACACAAGAACAATGGAAACAAGAGAAATACTACAAAGTATAAAGTAGAAATAAAACACTGACTTCAGGGAGTCTGTTGCTGCCTGGGTTATTAATAGCTAAAGTCCAAACGGGACACCGAATCTGATCCAATTCATCAGATTTCTATCATCAGTTTTGTGATCTAGTGTACATTTTTATCCCTGTCAGGTTACCGCTGACAGGGATAAGCGGAAGAGAGCGGATGGATGGATGGAGGTTACCGCTGAATAATTAGATTTCAAAATGAAATATAAAAACTTGACGACAGAAAGTATATCATACATAAGTATGATATATTTTATGTCAAACTTTTATTCTGTACATGATGACAACAGGGTGACACAAGCTGATTATTAATGACTGTTCTCTTTCCTCCTTATTTAAAAAATCAGCATTGACTTGTGTTCATATTCCTCAGTCGTTTGAGTTGCCATGGTGAATTGTGATATCACTGTTTTATGTGTTATAAACTACATAAAACTACACGTACTTCAGCTAGTTTGAAAGTAAATTTAATCTCAAAGTTTAGCTCTCCAGACAGCAAATTTTCCATCACATACTCTATATAACCTACAATATGTCTGTGAAGGTTCTCAGTCATCCAGGTCATCGTAGTCAAAGGAGCTTGCAAAGGGAGGAGGGAGGACAGACGCAACAACATTGTCATCCCCTATGTAGCCGGCGTATCAGAGAAACTCAGGAGAGTTTTCTCCAAGCATGACATCCCAGTGTATTTCAGACCCAGCAACACGCTCAGACAGAAACTGGTTCACCCGAAAGACAAAACGCCAAAACACAAACTTAACAATGTGGTGTATGCTGTACAGTGCAGCGAGGAATGCTCAGACCTCTACATTGGAGAGACCAAACAGCCACTTCACAAGCGCATGGCACAAAACAGAAGAGCCACCTCCACAGGACAAGACTCAGCAGTCCATCTGCATCTTAAGGATAAAGGACACTCTTTCGAGGATGCCAATGTTCACATTTTGGACAGAGAGGACAGATGGTTTGAAAGAGGAGTGAAAGAAGCCATCTATGTCCACTGTGAGCGACCATCTTTGAACAGAGGCGGGGGTTTACGACACCAACTCTCTGCCATCTATAATCCAGTTTTGAGTTCCCTTCCCAGACGCCTTAACGCCCACTCACATCCTGGGCCATCTGACCTCAGGAATTCGCATGATAAGGTGGGGCCAGGTTTCACAATGAACATACCCGAAACTCTGGCTGATTGGGACCCACACCCAGTTTCACACCTTGGCTCAGGCGATTAGAGGATCATCAGGGGGTCCTTTTGTCCCTCTGTGGGGGGAAACTCCCACTAGGTTTATATCTGGGACTCTCCACCATTTGACCTTAGAACTGAAGAAGCTTCTCGGATGAGAGGTGAAACGTCTTCAAGCAACTTAAAGAAGTCCAGACGCTTTATTTGCAAGCTCCTTTGATAACCTACAATACTCTACCTGCTGTGTAGCAAATGGTAGAGAGGAAATTACTGATAAACACAGAGGGTCATTTAGGAGCGAGAGAAAAATATTTCCTTCTGCAGTTAGCAGACCACAAACAAGAGAGTGAATATTGGACAACAGTCTAAATAAATAATGAAGTTACTCTGTAAGATGTCAGATCGTATCAGACTGCTGCAGTCAAAGGTTAGAGAAGCGTGTCTACTACAAGATCAATGGATCAGTCCCGGGTCATCTCTCTCGTCAACACCACTGCTCCGCTGATGCTGTTTCAGCCTACAGCTATGTGCAAGTGAAACTTTCCTTAAAAAATACATGCTAAATCAAGTTGGTCAAGTTAGTTTGTTAAAAATTATTTCCTGAAGACTAATCCATCCATCCATCCAATCCAATCCAACTTTATTTATATAGCACTTTTAAAAACAACAAAGTTGACCAAAGTGCTTTCCAATAATAAAACAGAGATAGCAGTTAAAAACCATACTTTAAGCATACAATGAAATCAATAAACAAAATAAATATATAGTTGAAAAAGATAAAAATAAATCAGTGTATATATTAAATATCAAAACATGAGTAGAATAAACAATAAGATATAAAATGAATAAGATTAACAAGGTGGAAAGATTAAGAATGATCAACAGCTGACTACAAACTGACTCTGATAATACTCCTAGAAAGCCTTTGAAAAAAAGTGTGTCTTTAAAAGTGATTTAAACATTTCAAGTGTTGGGGCCAGCCTGATATGGAGGGGCAGTTTGTTCCATAGTTTGGGGGCCACAACAGCGAAAGCTCGGTCCCCTCGGTGTTTCAGTCTCGACATGGGGACAGCAAGGAGTGACTGGTCAGATGATCTGAGAGATCATCTGACCAGTCTGACCAGTCAGACCAGTGTCCTTTAACCATGCAGATTAAAGGACACCAGCATCTTACTTACCAAACATTTTTGTATTAGATGAGGTCAGTACCTGAAGCCAACGAGTTGCTTGTCATCTTGAGCAGTTCACCATCTCCTTCTTTCACTTTATTTCTGATTGAATGCAACATTTGACAACTCTAGCTTTTCAACATGTGCAGTTCTAGGGAATTCAACAGTAATGGCAAAGTTTGTAATAAAGCTGCCCAAGCCTTTACTGGACGAAGAGTGGCCCTTTTACCATACATTTTATACAGTTGTCCTAGGTGTGCGTGCCACCAAGATGTCTGATGGCCTAGCCCCCCCCAAAAAATCACCACAGAAGGTTTTGGTTAAACGTATTTAACCTCCCAGTGACTAGTATGCAGCTGATTAGCTCAAAACCGTGCAACAAGTTCACACTAGTTAGCAAGCTAATATTAGTGGGCTGAGATCACAGACACTATAAAAGATGAACACAGCTTTTGGGCCTGAAATTTAAGTTAATGCAAAAGCACCTTAACCGTGATTCTTTTTATTGGTCAGCCAGGAACCACTGCACTAGAAAAACTGGGGAAATGGCCCTCAGCTCACTCTCCCTGTGACCTCACTAAACATTTCCTGATATGTTTATGGGCCCAATCACTAGTTTCTAATCATCGCAAACAGCAACTCGGGCCCACTACCTTCCATTATTAACCCAATTACCTGTACTGCTGTCACTGTCAGCAGGCACCAGTAGACACTGTCACTATGATTTCCCATCACAGTAATGGCGACTGTGCTGGATGGTGGAGCACACAAATCGGCGATAGCAAGGCACCACGCGATGACCATGTTTTGACATATTTTTAGCTGCACATTGTCTTGTGACTAGAATATTACCAAAGCTCAAAAGTGCATAAAGTTAAAAAAAAAAACTAATGCATCAGAACAAATAAAAATACTTATGCACCAAAAGTTAATTTACTGTCACATCTGGTGTCCATCAGAAATTCTTCGAAAAACAGAATGTTTACGGCTTGAGAATAGCTCCGGGCCTGATGATGCAGGATCAATTAGCATACAGCTGTTCACATTCCTTCGGCTTCGAGCAATAATCGCTGATTACTCAAGATGCGGCAATCACAAAATAAACCCCTGTTGATTTTCATTCATTGTGCCCTGTGAACCCACCATCTGATCCATCCATGTTTTAAAGCTGCAGTATACAAAAGTGTTTTTAGAAAGTGACATGACATAAAAACACTCAAACACACTGGGCTTTAACACTCAAAAAATGCATAAACATGCTTATTTGTTCGTGATATTGTCCCAGCTACAGTCAGCAGATTAGACAGGCGACCCACACAAACAACAACAACACTAAGGCCGGCTAACAGCAGCACTTCTCAACAGAAAGGTTCTGTACATCCTCAACAACTCACCTCAGTATTGGAGAGAAATAAGCTTCACTGACTCCAGAGGCTCCACATGGACACCCAGCTGACATAAACAGCAGACTGACAGAGTTGTTTGTACCTACAGCCGCCATAATTAGGATTACGCACTTAAATTTCAGAGGAGTAAAAAAACAGAAATGGACGGCAATCAGCAAGCTACTGACATCTACAGCAGTGGTGAGATTTCACAAACTGTACCTTTAACTCTATGTTTTTTGGCTTGTTTTAACAGACAAAGGAAGAAAACTTGAGATGCACTGGTTTAGCCCATTCAACCCACTATTTTCTTTAAACTACTGCACCGAGGCTAGTGTGAAATTTGCTCAAGTCCCTCCTCACAGGCTACATTTTAGTAAAGCCTGAAAACAGAGGCCAGAGGCACTGCAGAATTCTAGTTTCCTCTCCAACTACTTCGGTTTCAACCTGCTGGATTATCTATTTTTTTTTAAATAACTACACCAGCTTTAAATGTAGTCGTTTCTTCTTTGTAGTTGGGACCTTTGTTATGATTGCATGTGTCAGATGCTTCACTTCATAATAAGGCTCTGGTCTGGAAGAACCTTCGTCATATCAGAGGTGTACACTGGAACATTTACAATAAAGGGCCCAGGCCAGCCCTGTATGTCTTTCTGTCCTTGAAAACAATGAAAACATGTCCCTGTGTGTGTGTGTGTGTGTGTGTGTGTGTGTGTGTGTGTGTGTGTGTGTGTGTGTGTGTGTGTGTGTGTGTGTGTACTCACAGCCAGGAGGCGGTTCTTGTCCTTCTCGGCGTTGTTGAGAGCGGTCTCCAGGGTCACCCTGTTCTTCTTGGCGACTTCCTCCAGAGCTCGAGCTTGGCTCTCCTTCATTTGGCTGGTCTCCTCTTCGTATCGAGCTCGCAGACTGTTCACGTCCTTCTCGTGGGACACTTTCTCATCACGGAGGGTCTAAAAAACACCGAAAACGCACGTGCGAACTTAAATTATGCTCAAAGGTGAGCTCTGCGATAGACGATAGACAGACACAGAGCTCGGGCTGACATTCACAACATATGCTGCATTATTCATTTTTTTTTTTATGCTGCATTATTCAGCCATATTGCCACCGTTTGCTTGGGGATAATCCTCCAGGCTGCCTCTATACAGTGCTACTCTTTCTCGCCACGTCACTCTCATGTGTTATTCTTTGAACAGTAAAAGTTGATAGAGCCTGGGCACAGCCTATCTGGGATTACTGATAATGGGGTTATTGATTAGGACACAATGAAGCCCATTATCAGTCTCAAAAGTAAAGATACAATCGTTTGGATTCTAGATGTCCAATGGTCTTTATCACACTGGTGTTCAGGTATTGTGTTTTTTAAGTATGCTAAAGCAGTCTAGCTGATAACAGGAGAACTTCTTTTTACTCACTCATTATTTAAACAGTAGGTCTTTGAGTTCATGCAGAAACAAACAAACAGACTTTGGGATGTTTTGTAGTGAAGTCCCAAGTGAAATGAACAGCTGCTGATTGAAGACTCTGACCAACACGTTTTAAACATTGTAAAACGATCTTTAATATAGGCAGGCATGTAATATTATGTTTGACAAAAATGTAACTAAATTAGGTGCACAGAAACTATATTTGACTCTGCAGTGGGACATCGCAAGATGATGACAACAGCGTATAATACGGTGACCTTTGGGATAAAATAAGAAGCAGCAATACGGAGACCAAACAGTTCAGGATATGTTGACCTGATCGTGTGGCTGTTTTCACTTTTTTTTTTCTTTTCTTGTTTTCTTGGACAAGTCCAAATATCAACTTTGGTGTCCATACAGGAAACAGTTTTGATGATCTATAGTATCACTTTACATATGAATTATTTGTTTAAGGCAAACACATCAGCAGTGTTAGTTTTAGTCATAATGCATTTTGGCTTACTACAAAACCTCCTAGTGGTAAAATGTCAATGTACCAGTGTTGTACACTCATTCAAACAATCAACTATGGTTAGAAGTGCTTCACAAGTACCTGGATGATGTACAGTCAAACAAGTAAGTAAAACTCTTGCCCTTCTTGCCTGCAGGAAAGAGAGGGACCTGAGAAATTTTCAACCAAGTTACAAGAGCTAGCAAGACAATCACAATTCTCAGTGTCATCTATGTACATTAAGTGCACAACTTAGATCATTTAATTTGAGACAACACTGTGTCAAAGTTTACAAACTGCACTTGCAACTGAACTAATGAGTACTGTAAAAAATGCTCATCTGTATAGATAAATCCAATAGTAATTTTAAATTTAAGAAAAAAGTGAAAATTTGTTCAAAACGAACTTCTAATGCGACCCACTGATGAGTTACAGACGTGACAGATGTTTAAGAGGAGGAAAAACATTAAAAAGCCTGAAATTCCAAGTTAAAATGCTAAGTTAATGAGTATAAACACAAAAAAAATATGTAATGAGCATCATTTAAAGAATGAATATAAGTTATCAGCAGTGATTTATGTGTGGATGAAATGAGAGGAGAAGCTGTAGAATAGCAGAGCAAGGAGGCAGAAAATGCAGTGAAGAACAGATGTAGAAAAGATGTTGTTTAGAGAGACACAAGGAGAACGAATGAAGTCCTGCAGAGTTAGGTTGTTGTCAGGCTCTATAAACTGTGTAACTCAGAGATGAGCAGACAGGCAAGAACAAATGCCCTCTGCACCCAGCAACAGTGCACTGGGTTTGTCATTGGGAAGCTATTATAGTATGAATCAAGGCTACAGTCAAAAAATAGTGATTTTCAGGGGAAACAGACAAAACAGACAAAAAAAAATTAATATGCAAGCGCTAAAGTTTGGTTTTAATCAGGAGAGCAGCTGTTTCCTCTTTGCATGGCTTTAACAAAACTTTAATTGGCTAAACTTCGCCAAAAAAAAGTCACAAGGGAACTGTAATACACATGAGCTGAGCTGACTCACACAGTGAGCGATCTGAGGGAACATATCCTATTAAAGACTATACCAAGATTATCTGACTACTAATGAGATTAGAGTTAAAATCAGCAGCTCTGTTTCCAGCTTTAAATTTCTGTTCGTTGTGTGTCTCGGATTAAAAAACTGTAGCTAAAGGTGTAGATAAAGTTAACATGTGGGCTCTGGTTGTGGAGCTGGGTAGGTTCCTGGTTTCTTTGCGCACTAACAAGCGATTGGCACCACACCAATCATCTGGTGGCAGTAGCACATCAGGGCGTACTACAGGCAGACATAAAAGGGATGGCAGGAAGAAAACTTGAAAGTAACTGATAAAAATAATTTTTAAAATAAGGTTATATATATTTTTAAATTTAAATTTGCTCAGTCTCAGGAGTCCACACACTGAATTTCAGGTAGGCCATTAAAGGCTCTGACAGCATTTTTACTGATGACAAGCGTATGCGTTATTTGATGGTTATTTTATTAAAATAAATAAATAAAGAGGCTAAGTGGCTGGTAATAGAAGCGAGGGATTAGCTGAGTGAACAATTAATCTTTGGCACCACAAATATATGTTTGTTAAACTAATTGCAAATGTCATCAGTGTCACCGACTCACTGTTGGGTTACGCAGCCACCCGTCACTTACCCAGGGTTGCACTGTACACTGCACTGTAGCCGCGACAGCTCCCCTCCCCTCTCGCTAATTGCTGTAATAGATGTAAACAAGCAGGGTGGGAGGTGGAGCAGATGACATCTAGTAAAACTTCTGCAGTCCACCAGTCTACTTTGATGTAGCGAATGAAAGGTTGAATGTAGCGTTTGAGTCCGGCCTGTCATATAGACTATGCCAGCCTTAATTAATTTCAAATCAAACTATCAATATATATCACATTTTACAAAAAAATCCCGTTAACTGTTTAGGAATTACAGACATTTTTAAATACAGATCACATTTTTAGAGGTTCAAAAGTAATTGGAGGATTCACAAGCAGTTTCATAGCTTAGTTATTATTATATAACAAATGAAGCAGACATAATATCTGAAGTTGAATTAAAATGTTGAATTTCACGTGTCTCAGCAAGACACACGAGACAACTAAGGTGGATGAAGACAGAATTAATTCCATGGTTAAGAGAAGTAACATCTAACCAAGCTAAGAACACCTTTGAGCAGATAGCTGGTACCTCCATCCGATCCTATCACTAATATCATCCTCTGTCACACCAACCTTCTGCATGTCCTCCTTCACTATACCTGTGAATCTTTTCTGTGGTCTCTGGCAGCTCCACATTTAAAATACTTAGCCTAATATGCACTCTCTCTCATCTGCACATGTCAAAACCATCTCAGCCTTCCCTCGTTTGAACTTTATCTCCAAACAGCTCAACCTCAGCTGTCCCTCTGATGCACTCATTTCTAATTTCTAAACATACATCAAATCAGGACTCACTACCATCTTGTAAACCTTCCCTTTCAGTCTTGCTGATATTCTTCTGTCACAAATCACCTGACCTACTCCTCCCTGTATGCACTTTCTTCTTCACCCCTCCTGTGCACTGTCCATTACTTTGAATGGTTGACCCCAAGTATTCCAACTCATCTACCTTCACTAACTCTACCAATTTTATGTTTATCTTTCCACCTGTCTCCCTTTCATTCACACACATGTTCTGTTTTGTTTCATTGTTTCATTCTGTTGTTTGCTTCATTCCTCCTCTCTCCAGAGCATACCTCCACCTCTCCAGACTCTGCTTCCTACTCTCCTTACAGATCATAATATCATCTGTGATCATCAGCGTTCACAGAAACTCCTCCCTGAGCTCAGCTGTCAACCTGTCCATCATGACCACAAACAAGTAGGGGCTCTGAGCAGATTTAATCTCACCCCAACTTGAACCCATCTGTCACTCTTACCACACACCTCACCAGTGTCTTGCTGTCCTCATAAATGTCCTGTACCTCCCCTCACATAACTTCTCTGACGGCTCATCAACTTTGTCCATCTATAGTGTGTCCAGCTTCACATACAACTGACTGTAAGCTTTTCCTTTGCCACCTCACTCTTTCTTGAACGCCTACCCTCCCAGTACTCCGGTGTACTATTTTTAATCTCCATGCTATCTCACTTTTCCACCCTCTTCCCTTGATATTCTCACTCTGATAACAAAATTTATATCAATGGACATAAGTGGAGCCTTGCATGGTGGTGGATGCAGAAACTATAACATTGTTGTTGGTTTATTAGATGGAGAGACATCTGTATCGGCATCTCATGGTATTAAAAATCATATCCTATGACATACTAATACCCTAGTGTTCTATATACTTTAATGGCAGTAAATTTACTGCTTCAGAATTAATAGCGTAATAGCTCCCCAGCCTATTTAGTGATACTAAATGCTTACATAACCACAGAGAGCCCATTACAAATTATATTCACTCATTACAAATTAAATGTTTGCTTAAGTGTGATAAACGTAATGTGTAAAACTCTTCCTTTGTCCACTAAACTAAACTCTAGAAATACTAGGCTTAAGAAAAATGTGAATATATTAGCTTCTCAAGTCATTTAGACTGACTGATCAACAGCATGACACATTTTACTGTCCTAAAACATGTACAGTTTATATCTCATTCAACCTCACAATTTTCATTAACCCTACTGAGTGTCTGGCAGATCATCAGACACTGGCAGCAACATGAAAAAACTTTAATCTCCGATCAAAGAACGATCATATTAGTGTGCAGTAATTGCTCAGAACCAAAGGCTGTTTTGGAAAACTACCAAAAACAACATCTAACAAACTGGGCAAGCCTGCTGTGTTATCATATGGCCAACAAAGCCATGGGCGCCACATCTCCACAGTGTGACACAAACAACAGGCCATGAACATCCTGAGAGGTTAATTTCTCCTTTTGCAGAGAGACAGAGGAAAAAAACTCAAAGAAATAAAAGCAAACAAAATGGGAGAGAATGGTAATAAGAGGGAACCGAAATGAAAACCAAGGAAACAATTAATCTAATGACTTTTCACACATGTTCCCTAATTAAGTCAGGTCAATGAAATTATCATTATAGTTCCGTCTCTTCTTGTTCACTAATGTTGCTTATTTCGAACCATAATTGATCCAATCTTTGTCTTAAAAAAACAAGGAAAGAAGAAAACATGGTCTGCATTGCCAAAAAAGATGCAAATTTATATGGATTTCACTTGGAAGGAACTGTGCCAAATATCACTACATTAACAATTAAATGTAATTATAAAAATCATCTTTGCAATGTTTACATCAAGGTAATTTTAATTTATTTTACAAATACGATACATTCACTATCATTCAATTGTACAAAGCATTTGTTTTTTACGGGACTTTTAGCAGTAAGTATTTACATCTAAAACACTCATGAACCCATCTGAGTCAGGGCTGCTATAGCTGATTATGAATGGTTCTTACTGTTTTTGTTTTGTTTTCGGTTTCAAGTCACTTCGCAACCCAACTCTGTCTCAGTGTAGCAGAAAAAGTAAATTAGCTCTTTATAACTTCAGTCAATTATCCTTCCATGTTTTAACTGACTTGGTCAGTGTCTCATCTGTTGGCACCGTTTCCCTATCTGGTCCTGCTGCAGCCCTCCTCGCCACTGGCTTTCATATGTAAAGGGTGAAGAGGTCCCTGAACAGAGCTGCACCGCCAAATATAAATTACTGCAGATGGGAATGCTCTCTTCCCAATTTCTTGCTTCACTGCCCGTTCAGCTTGTGACTGTTTTCTTTTGGCATTACATGTTATGTTCTGTTTACTCACTTTACTAAACTTTAGAGGGGAACATTCAGTTACTGTGACACTCATGTTCAGTGCAGCATTTTGATCTGCTGCTCCATTGGGGGTCCTGAGACCCTATAACTGCATTTTGATCGAGGTGATATGTCCAAAGTATAATACAAACACCAGTGTAATTTCTCCATTTCACTACTAAGGGTTAAAATATCACTGTATTAAGAAAATTCTTTTAAGTTTACCTGAAATGAAAAGTTCTTTTCAGACAGTTATGAGGAGACAGAAACGGGTTCACGTTATTTATAACCAGCTTTGAGCTGGTTATAAATAACGTGAACCAAATAGAGATTCTGGCTTTAGGTTAGAGGGAGTGTAAAACTGGTTGAGTAACAGTTACCTATAACCAGTTGTGGCAAATGGCTGATCCTCCCTGAGCCTGGTTCTGCTGGAGGTCTCTTTCTCTTAAAATGGCGTTTTTCATTCCCACTGTTGACAAGTGTTTCCTCAGAGAGGGTCGTCTGATTGTTGTTTTTTCTGTATTGTTATAGGAGAGCTTTGAGGCAACTGTTGTTGTGACTTCACGCAACATAAATAAAAGTTTTCAATGTGTTTTTTCAGATGAGAAAACATGTAGACTATGTGACACAAAAATACATTGGAAAAAATTCAACCCACCTCTCTGGGACCTTTAATACAAAAAGCATTCATAGCGTGAAGGTAAAATTTCATTAAGCATAAATAAAGTTATTTTACATTAATAAATCAACTGAACCCGTCGAGGTCAGATGGGAACTTTTATCAAATTTAGTTGAGTTTGCATAAATTTCATCAAGAGCCAATTTATAATGATGAATCAGTGTTGAAAGGTTTGGAAATTTAGCTTCAGCCATAGAAGAAAGATGGCATGAAGTTTAAGTGATCTGAGATCTTCCATTATCCTTGGGAAGGCATCTAAATTCACAGCAACCACACTCAGTGGGAGAAGTCTTTCAGCTCCCAGAGGATTACACTGCACAAATGTCAGATATAAAAGAATGGGAAAACACACATGAGGCTGCAACACTTGACATTTACTATCGGCTGCGGTTGGTCTGCTGACTACGCTGTTGCTTAAATCATCTGACCTTTAAGAGTCCCGCTTTCTAAAAAGAGGAGCAGCTGTCCTTTTTTCAGAGTTTGTAAAAGCTGTGATCGACAAGTTTGACCCTTTCAACTGTTTGACGACCACAGGTCATCTTGCACAGATGACATGCTTTAAACTTTGTTGCAGACCTACGATTAATTTTCTTCTTAATCCCTAGGAATTCCTCTGCAACGCACTAAATATGCCAAAATAACTAACGAAAGATAGACAGGGCGGGTATTTATGCATACTGTAAATCTACATGCTCTTATCTAAAAATCTGACTTCGCCTACAAGTACAACTCTCTCAGATACATCAATAATTAAAATCAAGTGCTCTTTTTACTTCTGTAAAGACTTGGTTTGGGAAAGACATCAGCCTCACATGGGGATTGCAGTCTCGTCTGTACAGTCAGTATCACAAACTAAGAGAAGCAAGCAAAAGAAAACTTGAAAAATGAATTTGGACTAGAGTCTACGTTTAAATCTACTTTTGCTTGATCCTGGTCACATGGTCAGGAGAGACAAGTTCACTACTTAAAATGCACATAAATACAAAAAAATACAGGAGACCAAGGCTTCATGCTGGGGTTTCACAATAACATTTTGGGTACAATTTTTTTTCTAACAAAGTAACCCTAATGTGAAAACCTGATGTCAGTAGGTATTACTTATTACTGCTCAACTCCATCGACATTGGACCACTACACTAAAAAGTATGGGCACTGACTTCTTCACAGTCCTTGTATTTTAAACTGGTGTGAAGCAAACTACAAAAAAGATCAGTTTCTGCATCTTGATGACTTATTGGTTATTCATAACAGAGCTGCTTCCTGTCCGACATGAATACAAAACACTTCACCATCACACACACGCACCTTCTCCAGGGCCTGGAGCTGCTGTTTCTGTCTTTCATCCAGTGCTTGGCCCTGGCTCTGAAGGGCCTCCCTCTCTTCCTCCATTCGCACCACCTTGTCCTTCAGCCGATTCCGCTCGTTGTCCAGGTCTCTGATGGCTGCTTCCTGGGTCATCTGGGTGGCCTGCAGACTGCTTATCTGACCTATGGCAGAGCAGAGGCGAGAAGAATACAAATATTCAACTGATGCAATCAGCATGTTGCTGGTTCTTATTGATGCTGCCAACACAGCTACAACGAGGGGCTGTCAAAAAGTTTCAGTTTTGTGATTGTGCCATAGTTGACCCTGACTCATAGGAAGAAGGTCTACAACTCCCTGGGGCCTTTCTATGTGGAGCTAGAATTCTTTTGCTTTGTCATGTCTTTGTCTCTGGGTACTTCAGAGCTATACAGTTCTTCACTGAAAACCTGCTTGAGATTGCTTTGATCTCTAGGGGCTTGCTACATTCTCCAGTAGTTAGCAATGAAAATGTTGACATGCCCACAAATACTTTTAAAACTATTCCCAGAGCAGTAGTGAAACTGTTAAAGTACAATGCAAAACAGGAAGTAAAAGTTGTGTTTTTTCACGTGTTAGTTGCAGCGATAATTCTGTTTCTAGAAAGCTTCACACAAGTTCTAAGTTCTAGTTTCACTATTTACTCTCCAAGTTCTAGTGAAACTAGAACTTGGAGAGTAAATAACAACTCTCTGAAGATAAGTTTCCATCTTCCCTGTGAACTACAGGTGATCGTGTCAAACTGCTTGCCATTAAATCAATCACAAGAAATTTTTGTTGCAGCCATTTTTGTGACCGATTTCACTTCCACAAGTTTGGAAATAAACATTTTTGTTACCCAACTGGTGGTAGTCAGTTAGTAACTGATTGGTCTTTGTGATTGTGAGAGGCCTTAAATGCTGATTCTAAATTAGCTGTAAGTATGAGTGAGAGTCTGAAAGGTTATTTTTGTCACTATGCTAGCCCTGCAATGGATTAGAGACCCTGTCTCTCCCCCGTGACAGCTGGAACAGGCTTGAGCCCCACTTTGGCCCTTAACTCGATAAGCTGTTAGGAAAATATATGGATGAATGGACACCCAATGTGGCAAGAAAGGGTCCTTATCAAGCATCTGTATGTGAGCTGGGAGTGAAAATGTGCTGGACATTTCTGGACATACAAACCATAAAACTTAAACTCAAGACTACACATTTAGTAATTGTTGAAGGATGATAAGTTGAAATTTACCACTCTTACACTTTTTTTTTTACCTTTATAACTTAAAAAACAAAAGGCACTTTAAAAGGCAAAAAGGACTCATGGTCATTTCTTTGCAAACAACCTTGAGAGGTCCTCTGATCTGTAGTGTGGTAAATGAGACTCCCATGGCTGCATTTACCAGCTGGATCTTATTTGTCTCTAACATGCAAGCAGCTCCAGTGGAAAGTGATAAAATGCTCTCATTGGATACAACGAACTCATTGGAGCTAATGGGCCGAGAATGACTCCGCACCAAAGTGGCTGCGATTGCTCACACGTTTCAGACAGTAATGTTTATGCAATGTTGTTAACCAAAGTAGTGATGGAAATACATCATAAGACATTAGACCAGATTCTAACATACACCTATTTAGCCATTTACATGTGCACATAAACACAGACAAACTGGGCACTGTCGTCAGCAAGGCTTCTTCTAGCAGCCTCTGAGGGACCGGGAACACCATTAGCCCCGATATACAGTACAGCAACATGCTATTAAAGTGTAACAGGCAACGATGTGTCAGACAAGATGAGGGGAGCTGTTAGTCGATATGTTTGACGTGTTTGCACGGAAAGCATAGAGTGCATCTTGAGTCTAGTGCGGATGCAAGAATTCACAGGTCTCATGAAAAGAGAAAGGGAAGAGATTGTGGGTCTTACTGGCTTTGAGAAGTATTTCAGTTGCCTGCTGCTGAACTCGGTCTCTGGCTGCCTCTAGTTCACATTCAGCCTCCTTCTGACGGATTTCCACAATCTCCGAGTTCTGGGTCACCTCGTCCAGCTGCTTGGTTAAGTCCTAGAGGAGAGTCAAATCCACAAAAGAAAGCTCTGTTAGGGTAGGTTAAGAAGAACAACAACCAACCTCTAACATCTTTACAGAAGGAAATAATTAAATTATAATTTACCCCCAGTTTAAATGACACTGATGAAAAGACTGATGGTCTGTGCTGTCATACAACTCTTTTCGGTTTACTTTCCCTACTTTCAGACATTGCAGACGGGTGTTTTCAAACATCATTAAAGACCAGCTGATAAATGCAGCTTTGATATATATAGTTCTAAGCCTAAATATAGTATCTAAATGAGCTTGAATATTAAACCTAAATAACTAGCAGACCAGAGACTTCAAATGGCATGACACATCTGACTTTTACTCAGTGAAACTGCAGTTCCTCTAATGGCCACTTGAGACCAGCTTCCAGGTCAATCCCCATAAACTCATATGTTAAAACTTCCCATTAAAAACAGCATGTTTACAGCCTTGCACACAAACAGTTTTGGCCTCTACAGATACTTTCCACCTTTAAAACAACTATACAGAGGGGAAATATTTTTATCCAACTCATTCATGTGGATAGTGGCCACTCTGACAAGTTTTCAGACAGTTGGAGCTGTATTTGTGACATTGGTGCATTTTGTAGAATTTTTAATTGAACTAGCTCACAAATAATATAGCCTGTGGTAAGCTACAGCCCACCCAAGATGCTTATAGTTCAGTTTTGATGACTGAAATTCTAGTATTTTGATTAATGATAATGTTGAGGTTTTAATATTTAGAATCTCATATGGATGTCAACACCACGGGTATGACGATGTTTTACAAATGAAGTCAGAATTATTAGGCCCTGTATTATTATTTTTTGTTTTAAACAGAGCAAAGAATTCTTAACACAGGTTTTTTAAACATTCTATTTTTATTTTGGACACTTAAAATCTGTTACTTGGTACACAGAAACAATATTATACCACATAAACCAAAAACTACCAGGGTTAAGACTGTTACTAGTCAATTTTATATCCTTTTTGCTAGATAACGGCCTGCAGCCGTTTATTGTAGTTTTCGGCACGTCTTAAACATGCCTTGATGGTCTGCGATGGTCTTCTGGAATGCGCCTTGGTCTTTGGTTCACCTCACAGATTTCCAGTTGGATTCAAGTCGGGGGGGGTTTTGTTCACTTTGGTCGTCTAGAGGTAGTTCTTCTCCAGGGGCGATGTGTGTATTGATTACGTTGGAAGACAAAGCGATGACCCAGACCCAGTTTTGCTGCCAATTCTTTGAGGTTTTCTTTAGGATCAGCACATATCTTTTTTTTTTATGATTATCCTTCAACCTTGGTGGGATTCCCAGATTCAGATGCACTGCAGCTTCCCTACAGCATAAAACTCCCACCATGTTTCACTGGGCGCACTGTTTTTTAGGGTTGTACTTCAGAAAAAAAAAAAAGAAAGATTCCTTGCTTCAAACGTATGCAGTGTCTCTGTGGCAAAAAACTACAGTAGTTACATCTCATCTGACGTGTATGTCCAGTATGCATCATCTTTGTTCAGGTTTCCGTAGCATATTTCAGTCTGGCTGGAAAGTGTCTCTTCTTCTTGGGCTCTTTTTTTCTTGGTCTGTAACCTCACAGTCCATTTCTGTCTAAGGTTCTCATGATTGTGAGATCAAAAGTCCTGACTTGGCTAATTGTTCATTACTGATTTCAGCATTTGTTCTGGGGTCTTTAGACACTTTTCTCAATAGTTTTCTTTCCAATCTCTGCCGGGCTTATTCTGCACAGTGTAGCTCTCTTTAATTTTTTTGATGAAACTTCTCATTCCAGTTCTTGACATTTGGAAGCTCTGTGATAAGGTTTTTAATTCATCTCCTGCTTTGTAAGCATCAACAATTCTTTTTCTGTTGTCTAAGCTGATTTCTTTTGTTTTTGGCATGATGCTTTCTCAAGCGGCAGCTCAAACTCCTGCTGAAGTTTTTGTACTGTGTGTAAACTGGAAGACGATGCTCAGTTTTAACTTGATTTTACAAGCTTTGAGCATTACAAAGTTAAAGCACATCACTGCACAGCAGTGGCTTGTGCTTTTGCTCAATAGAAGTTCAGGTTATCGGGGGTTATGTTAAAAATATGTTGCTCTGTTTCATTGTGGAGTAATTATTTTATCCTCACCTTTATATACAGTCAGTCAATCATGTGTGGTCACAAGTTCACCAACAAAACTTTAATATTGATTAAAAAAAAGTCTGTGTTGTGCTCAAATATTTTGCATGTTTTTTTTTTAGAAAAGGGAAGAAAAAGGAATAAAGAGAAACTAAGAGTTTACAAAATAGTTTATAGAGCTGTCCTAAGGAGTTCTTGACCTCTGGACAGGTCAGGTTAATGACTAAAACATTGTTTTACAAAATTATCGTACTATCTATAAATGATTTTTGTGGTGATAAAAAATAATTTATAGATAATGTCTTTGTTATTTACAAGTTAAAAGATCACTCATTACAAAGACTGCCACAAGGCTCGCTAGCTAGTATAAATAGAAGAAGATGGGTTTTTTTCACTCTCACTAACTTTTTTGAATGATAGGATTGTTAGCCCAAGTCCAAACTTCAACATTCAAGACCTAAATATCTGGGCACATGCCCTTTAATGTCAGTCATTAACTAAATGGAATGAAACCTGAGTAAATGTAAATCCACCTATTCTATATTTGATGAGCTGTTAAGGGTGTGTTCAGTACTATTATGAGGTAAGGTATGCTACTGAAGACAGACCTTTAAAATTACATGTTGCTTGGTCATTGCAAAGAGGTAAGTGTAGTACATTCATATTTAAAGCAATGTAGAGGCTTTAAGAGGCACATCCGTATAGAAAAGTGAACTTCACCTTATGTTGTAATGCAATGCCAGGATGAAGTTGGCAGCCAGCAGTTGCAGCCAGTTTATCACACTTACAGAAAGAACCGTATTGGCAGAATATTAATACTGAAGATTGAGAGTGTAAATGCTGACTGGTGCTCAATTAATAGGAACTAGACTTCAGGGAGTGATTTGACGTGAGCACACACACACACACGCACACACACACACGCACACACGCACACACACACACACACACAGTACAGTAGCTTTGTGATTTAGCACTCTGCAAGAACTTATGAGAGGCAATTTCACATCTTTCAATCCCATCAAACAGCCTCCCTCAAACTTAATTACCGCTGCTATGGCTAAGACAATGAAACCTCAGTATGATGAAAACCACTGAGGAGTCACACAAATTAGACCTGATATGTGTGAGTGGGTGAGACACTGTGTGTATGCTGATTTCCCTCAAGGAAAGTAGTTGCACTTTATGACCGCTAGGTTTAGATAAGGTGGGATAAACCCACTTTAACTTTATGATTTGGGGGGTTACATATACAGTGGGGCAAAAAAGTATTTAGTCAGCCACCGATTGTGCAAGTTCCCCCACCTAAAATGATGACAGAGGTCAGTAATTTGCACCAGAGGTACACTTCAACTGTGAGAGACAGAATGTGAAAAAAAAATCCATGAATCCACATGGTAGGATTTGTAAAGAATCGTAAATCAGGGTGGAAAATAAGTATTTGGTCAATAACAAAAATACAACTCAATACTTTGTAACATAACCTTTGTTGGCAATAACAGAGGTCAAACGTTTACTATAGGTCTTTACCAGGTTTGCACACACAGTAGCTGGTATTTTGGCCCATTCCTCCATGCAGATCTTCTTGAGAGCAGTGATGTTTTGGGGCTGTCGCTGAGCAACACAGACTTTCAACTCCCGCCACAGATTTTCTATGGGGTTGAGGTCTGGAGACTGGCTAGGCCACTCCAGGACTTTCAAATGCTTCTTACGGAGCCACTCCTTTGTTGCCCGGGCGGTGTGTTTTGGATCATTGTCATGTTGGAAGACCCAGCCTCGTTTCATCTTCAAAGTTCTCACTGATGGAAGGAAGTTTTGGCTCAAAATCTCACGATACATGGCCCCATTCATTCTGTCCTTAACACGGATCAGTCGTCCTGTCCCCTTGGCAGAAAAACAGCCCCATAGCATGATGTTTCCACCCCCATGCTTCACAGTAGGTATGGTGTTCTTGGGATGCAACTCAGTATTCTTCTTCCTCCAAACAAAAAGTTCTACTTTGGTTTCATCTGACCACATGACATTCTCCCAATCCTCTGCTGTATCATCCATGTGCTCTGTGGCAAACTTCAGACGGGCCTGGACATGCACTGGCTTCAGCAGCGGAACACGTCTGGCACTGCGGGATTTGATTCCCTGCCGTTGTAGTGTGTTACTGATGGTGACCTTTGTTACTTTGGTCCCAGCTCTCTGCAGGTCATTCACCAGGTCCCCCCGTGTGGTTCTGGGATCTTTGCTCACCGTTCTCATGAACATTTTGACCCCACGGGATGAGATCTTGCGTGGAGCCCCAGATCGAGGGAGATTATCAGTGGTCTTGTATGTCTTCCATTTTCTGATGATTGCTCCCACAGTTGATTTTTTCACACCAAGCTGCTTGCCTATTGTAGATTCACTCTTCCCAGTCTGGTGCAGGTCTACAATACTTTTCCTGGTGTCCTTCGAAAGCTCTTTGGTCTTGGCCATGGCGGAGTTTGGAGTCTGACTGTTTGAGGCTGTGAACTGAGGCTGTCTTTTATACAGATGATGAGTTCAAACAGGTGCCATTCATACAGGTAACGAGTGGGGGACAGAAAAGCTTCTTACAGAAGACGTTACAGGTCTGTGAGAGCCAGAGATTTTCCTTGTTTGAGGTGACCAAATACTTATTTTCCACCCTGATTTACGAATAAATCCTTTACAAATCCTACCATGTGGATTCATGGATTTTTTTTTCACATTCTGTCTCTCACAGTTGAAGTGTACCTCTGGTGCAAATTACTGACCTCTGTCATCATTTTAGGTGGGGGAACGTGCACAATCGGTGGCTGACTAAATACTTTTTTGCCCCACTGTATTTTCTTTGTCTCACTTCTTCATACAG